TTTAGGGCTTGAAATACATCACTCCAAGCTCTTCTTGGCTTGAGGGTTTTCACTGAGGAGTCTGCTGTGATTCTGATGGGCTTTCCTTTGTATGTGATTTGTTTCTTTTCTCTCACTGCTTGTAGAATTTGTTCTTCTGTTTGGTTTCTGGAATCCTAACTATTATATGCTTATGTGTAGTTTTTTTTGATGAAGACTAATTGGAGTCCTATATGCCTCACTTATCTGTATGTCAAGTTCTTTTCCCCTACTTGGGAAGTTTTCTGCCATCACTTCTGTCAACAGCTTTTTTATGTCATCTGCACTCTCTCCTATTTCTTCATTGACTCCAATCAGTCTTATGTTATTCTTCTTTGCATCATTCAGCAGCTGCCAGATTGATTTCTCGTGGTCCCTTACAATTTTAAAGCAATTTTTCTTTTCCTGGTCACTAATTGCAAACTTATCTGCTATATCTGAAATTCTGTCCTCACATTGACTCATTCTGCTGCGTAGACTTTCGGGTGTTTTTTTTGGTACTAGGGATTGAATTCGGGACCTTGTGCTTGTGAGGCAGGCAGTGGAATCACTGAGCTAAATCTCTGCCCCAATATGAGTTTACAGTTCTGTTTTTTTTCTTTTTTTGGTACCAGGGATCGAACTCAGGTCCTTGTGCTGGCAAAGCAGGCGGCAAAACCACTGAGCTAAATCCCTGGCCCCTGCTGTGTAGACTTTCAATGGAGTTTTTATTCTCCTGGAAATCTGTTTGTATCTGTTTTATGGATTCCATTTGTTTCCTATGTTGAGATTCCTTCATGTTCCTCAGTTCCTCTATTTTTTTATCTGTGTCCTCTCTAGATTTATTAATCATGTCTTGCACTATGTGCACAATCTCTGTTGTTATCTGAGAAATTATTTCTGATTTCATTTTTTCCAGATCCTCTTTTGTTGCCAACTCAGGAAGTCCAGGTGGTTGAGTATCAGATCGTTCCATCTTGTTTCCCTTTGGGGTTGCTGTAGGTGATCTGGAAGTCTGTTTTTGAGGCTTGTTTACATATCTCCTCATTTACATGGGGGAGAGGGGGAGGTGCTGGCGCCTGGGCGGCTCATCTCCTCTGCCCTAGATGTAGTGGAATGGCGGCTGGAGAGCCTCCTCCTGGTCGTGGGGATTGGCTCACCTTCTCTGCTCTGGGAGCAGTGGAGTGGCATCCAGCCTAAATAGTTTTTTAAAAACTCAAGAATAATATTCCATAGCATGTGAAAAGTACATGAAATGCAGGTTTGCACATATATAATTAAAGTTTTCTTGGAACACACAGCTTGCCCAGGAGTCTGTGCCTGTATCTATGACTGATCTTGGTACATCACTGCAAAGCTTAGCTGCAACAGAGACTATCGATGCAGAGCATAAAATATTTAAAATCTTGTCCTCCCAGAAAACATTTGCCAACTCCTATTGTACAGCAATATCCAAAATTATTTTTATCTTAATTTTACTTTTGAAA